GTGTGTGTGTTTTTATACATATACCCTCTCTTCTTATCAGCTGGATGCTTCGCTCTCCACTCTAGTCCTCTATGGCTATGTCACTGACTCTGGGTCCAAGAGTCCCCAGGTCTTGCCACAATGCTGGCCAACCAAGTCTCCACCCAGGTTCACAGGAGTCTATTGAACATTGTAGGTCTTAGCTCGCAGCTTCATTGCTGTTTTTCCCTCACTTCCCCTTATCAGTGATGAACGTGATCACCAATCAGAGTGCATATCTGCTTGTGTATTCCCACTGAGTCTTAGTCTTGGAAGGGGGTTTGCCCTGACAGAACCTGATCATTTGCCTTGATGTCTCCTGGGCAAGCAACTTTGTTTGTTCTTGTAGTGATCAGTCAGACTACTGTTATTGTTTTGTGTTTTTCCTGTTGGTCTTTCTTTCAGGAAGTACCTTCTGTTCTTCTAGTTGCTTCAGGTTGGTCTGCCCATACTGTCAAGTGGAAATTTCCCACCTCAGAAGATTCTGGATGGGGTTCAGGATTCCACCTATGGACTTATGTAATGCAGAGGCTCCACAGGAAGCCTCCCTCACTGGGCACATTGTAGCCCCATTTTAGGTATTCCAGTCAGTTATAAGCAGAATACGGACGGACTTAAGAGCTTTCGATGGTGATATTTCTGGCTATTCCTTTCTCTCCCCCTCCAGTGTCTATTTTATAATGGTATGCCAGGGAAACCAAGATTGGAAAGACAGCCAAGCATCTTAACATTATTTCCCTTTTCCCATTCCAACCATGTCTCAATCCCTGTATCCCAGAGCCCTTTTGTTCCAAGGTTGTGCATGCATCATTATTTACCTCTATCCCGCTTAGCCCATGCAAACCTACTAATTGTTTTCCCATCCACCTTGTTCTTCCATTCCCCTCCCCCTTCTTGTGTACTGCCCCCCTCACTAGCACACAAACTATCCTGTGTCTATTCCCTACCCTGTGCTCCACCTTCCCTTCTCTCCCCTCACCCCACCCCACCCCACATCCTGGTAACCAGCAAAGAATCCCTCTCCCCCCATTTAGTATGGGTTCTTTTTCTTAGTCTTTTACAGGAGTGGTCCTATGTGGTTTTACAGAATTCTATCATGCGATCTCCAGCATAATTTCTATCACCATATTTTCTAACAACTGAACTTTCCTCTGTTTCCAACGTTTGCATTCCAATCACCAGTATTGATCAATAATCTTGATTGTGTGTTTGATCAATTTCTGATTGAAGAAGTTGGTAAAATTCTTCTATGTCATCCTCATTGGCTTTAGTGGTTGATGCATAAATTTGAAGAATATTGGTCTTCCCTTTAGGTGCATGAATATTATCCTATCACAGACAGTGTTGTACCTCATCACTGATCTGGATATGTTCTATTTGACAATGAATGCAACACCATCACCATTCCTCTTCAGTTTGTCAATCCCAGGATAGTAAACCATGTGGCTGTTAGATTCAAAATGGCCAACACCAGTCCATTTCAGCTCACTAATGCTTAAGATATTGATGTTCATGCATTCCATTTAATTTTTGACAATTTCCAATTTCCCTAGATTCATAGTTCATACATTCCATGTTCCAAGTATTAATGGATGTTTACAGCTGTTTCTCTTCATTTGAGTTGGGCCCCCTCAGCAAATGAAGGTCAAGAGGGCTTTACTTCCATGGGCTTCACTCCATTCACATCATCACAGTCAACTATGCTTTGAGGAGGCAGCTCTTCCCCAGTCACATTTTGAGTGCCTTCCAACCTGAGAGGCTCATTTTATGGCACTATATCTGACAGTGTTTCTCTGCTATTGATAAGGTTTTCAGTGACAAAATATTCAGACGTAGTTCGTCTCTTCTTCTTCCTAGCCGCTCTTCATTTGGAAGCTCATCTGAAACCTGTCTACAGTTGGTGACCCTGCTGGTATTTAAAACAACCATGGCATAGCTTCCAGAATCACAGCAACCCACAAGCCACCACAGTATGACAAACTGACAGACAAGTGGTGGAGGAGAATATGGAACTATGAAGAATTTTACTACCTTGCAGTCCTCTAAAAAATGAAATTATACAGGGACTTTTAGGATAGTTATACATTGTCATTGTAGAAAATAAAAAATGCTGACTGAACTAAACTAAAACAACTGGTCTTGCACCCACTGCCCAGAAATATCTATGACACTTTGTGATATTTAGGTATATGTACGCCAGTGCATTTCTTTATTTAAAAATACCACTATATTTCATATACTCTTCTCAATTAGCAGTATACCTTTAAACAATGCTCATTTTTTTCCCACTTTTTCAATATTTACTGAGATTATGTAATTTTCTTACTATGAATTAAAATAAACATTAAATGATAATAATAAAAGTGAACATCTCTGTTGTATTCATAAAATAGAAGGAATACCTTTAGTATTTTACCATTTACTAGGACATTCGCTATAGGATTGTTATTAATGCATTTATACGCCTATTTAGGCTTTTGTAGGATTGGCTGCTAGAATTTCTCAAATGTTTTTCAGCACATTACCCCTGCTTAAGACAGTCATAAGAATCCCAGGGCACCAAGTTACTCCTCAGGGCTAACACTCTTGTCCCCAACAAGGCTCTGTACTTCAGTTCGCTGATTCCAACTCCTACTCCTCCCTAACATCTACAAACTTTGTAATGTGCCCTCTGAAGTTTATAATTAGTCGACAGCAAAATTTCCTATGGATTTTCAAACTCTTCTCTAAATGTTTCATCTTCTTGCTCTCAGAAAGTAGGTAGATTGTCATCTGGTAGCTCATACATCAACCCGAAAGAGGCACCCATCCTCCGTGCTCTTCAGTGCCTCTTACAGGATCATTCCCTCCCTTCCTCTTCCCTAACAATGCTGAACATTAAATATCACAGCATTAAATGATCCCCATTTCCTCTTCTTTTACAGTCATCTTATCAACTAGGTCACCTCCATTTCCTAAAGATTTTCGTTTCTGGTTCTAACACTCTCTCCAGTGCTGAACTACTATAACTCTTATAACTCTTGTTAATCTTGATAGCTAGGTAGCTGATCTCAGTTCACTGATCTTTCCTTTAATCATCTCCCTATCCTATTTCAGCCATGATCACTGTAACTGCAACCTCTCCATAATCTCAATTTCCAAGCAACATAACTCCTAACTATAAAACCCTTCTCATGTGTGGCAAGTCCAACAAATCTTTAAGGAAACTGGCTTAAATTGTGGTTGTTGTTGTTAAGTGGTATCTAGTTGGTTCCGATGCATTAGCAAACCTGTATACAGTTTCCGAGGAGGAGTTGGTGGGCTTGAACTGCCAGCCTTGAGGTTCAAACTGACTTTGCAGTCCAGCACATTAACCCACAGCACCATACCAGGTCTCCTAAATTGAGGTACATTCCATGAATTATTCCTGTTGCCATATCACTGTAGCTTACCTTTTCAAGTCCTATTTGCCCTCCCTAATTTAACTTCCATGGCCAATCATCATAGTCACTTTCTTGTAGGTATCTTAAAGCCCTGATTCCCTTTCTCACTTTGTCTTGCTACCTCAACAAAATGTAAACTGCAGCTAAATCTACCTCTCTACCTATTCTGTACCTCTGCAGCCAAGCATGCCTGAAGAAAAACATACAACTCATCCTGGCTAGCCTTACATAAAGTGTCACTCAGGACAATAATTTCAAGTTAGCCTTGATTCTTTAATTTCTCTCATTCCTACTCTTTTCCAGCAATAAATCTTACCAGCTGAACCTTTGAAAGTGTATACAGAATTGAGCTTCATCACATGATCTCCACATAAGCTTCAAAGGGCCATCACCTCTTACCTGAGTATGGTGGTGGTGGTGGTTATGTGCTGTGGAGTGGATTCCGACTCATAACCACCCTCTACAGGGTTTCGGAGACTGTAAAACCACTATGCTACCAGAGACTCCTAGTTGGTTTCTCATCCACACTATTGCTCCCCCTACTGTTTATTCATAACACAACAGCCAAAGTAACCCTGGAAAAACCTAAGTTGTTTCGGGAATCATGTTCTCCTACTGCTCCTTCAATGGCTCATTTCATTGAGAATCAAACTCCAAGTCTCTTCTATGACCTACAAGGCTCTACTACAGTCTTCTATCTACTGACCCTGCCACCAGTGGGCAGCCACAAGTATGTCTCTGAATTCATCAGCTATACTACGCTCTTCCCTTGCTCTCTGTTACAGCCACAATGACCTTCTAACTATTGTTCAAGAAATTTGAAAATCCACCCACCTCAGGGACTTTGAACTTACTCTTCTTATTCTCTCTGCCCTGAAAGCCTTTCCAGCTATGGGTCAATCCCTCAGCCCCTTCAAATTCTACTCAGATGTTAGCCTCCAGTGAGGACTTTCTGGCTACTTCCTAATCACTCTCCCTGCTTTATTTTTCTCCATAATTCATGCCATTCACTAACAGACTATGCATTTTATTTTGCTTTGCTTATTGTCTTCCCTCTCTACTACTATTTAAGTTCAATGAGGGCCTGGATTTTGTTCACTGCACAAAACAGTGTCTGAAATATAACTGGGATACAATGGAAATACACAGAATGAATAAGATGCTTGTCACACAATAGATGCTCAATAGCTATTTCCCCCCTTCACTTTCTGCTAGGTCATTACTGATACAACAGTAGAAATGTAGAAATGTAATGCCACTACCATTAAAGAAAAAAAAATACAGCAATCGAATGCCTCTGCCTTACAAAAAATAGGTTAATGGCATCATCTTCATATACAATAGAATTTTCTAAATTATTAACCTATTCATTTGATGCTGTACAATAAGCACTGGACTACTAACTACAAGGTAGGTGGTTCAAATCCACCAACACTCTTTGGAAACCCTATACAAGATGACTATGAGTCGGAACTGACTTAATGGTCCTTAAGAACAACCACAAAACAATCATATCTTAAAGAGATGCTTTTCCCCAACATATAAATATTCACCTTGCTAAAATCTTTCTTTGAAGCTTCCAAGCAATCCTGATGGAGCATATTTTTCCTCTGTTCTGGCACTGGAACCTTCACTTTAGATGGGGACACTAAAACAGCACCACCTGGAGAAACCCAAAGATAAAGGTTTCAATAAGCAGATTATCTTGCAGAAAAACAGGTTAAATAAGAACTGCACAGTGTTTGCCTCTTACCAACAGCTGGAGTGGTGCGGTCATGATGAGTCCTCTGGGCTCCGCCGAGTTCTCTCAGCTGTGGTGTAGGAAGCCTGCCTCCTTGTCCTGAGGATACAGAAGAAGAATCCGACCTACAAATTTCAACAACCTATTATACAGTGTTTTCCTCCAGAAAATATGATCACAAATATTTTTACATGATTATGAAGGAGACTCACAAAGATGATGTAAAAATAAAATTATGAGATAATGGAGTTTTTTCCACAAAGCTCTATTTTTTACTTTTTATTGTGAATTAGGTGAACACTTACAGAGCAGAAAATCAGTTTTACTTTCAACAAATCATACACATTTTTTTTCATCTCACTGGTTGAAATCCCCTGAACTTTTTGAAGCCACCTCATATAATAAAGTGTGAAACTTAAAAAAGGCCATTTTGTTTCTGAAAAAAAAAAATTACTATCAAATCCAAGAGACAAGTTCACTGCAAGTCAGCCACAAAACAGTCAATAATTACCCTTTAAATCAGGGTGCTATGAGTCAGAACTAACGCGACAGCACTTAACAACAACAATAAACTCCACATTAACCACAAAACTCACAAATGATAATGACTATGGGAAAAAATCACCATTATCAACAAGAGAAGCATTCCTCAAATAATCGTGCACAGAAAGCTAAAGGAATTAGGTATTTGCATAAATCAATATTTTAACATTACCTTTTTCTTCTTTTTAATATAACCATCTGATATTAAAGGACTTCAGCTATTTTTCTTAATTCACAAAGAAAATCATCCTTCCAGAAACAGCTATAAATCTAGTACATCATAATTAAGAAAACATAAAGAATGAGAACCCTAACTGCTCCCTCCCCAAGTGGCTCAGGGTTCAAGCGTTCAATTGTCAAGTGGAGGTGGCACAAGTACCTGAGTGAATCATAGCCTACACCAAACAAAAACACTTGCTTGGTTCATGACATTACAGTAAAGTCTATGCTATACTAGCCATAAAGCCCCAAATACAAAAACTACTATACACCTATACCTCACTTACCGACTTTCTCATTATCCAACAACAGTAGGAAGTCTACTATTCAACTATTTTGTGCATTAACGACATACATCTGGCAGTAATGAACGCCAAGCTGTGATGGTCAGGAGAAGTTATGTGCCAACTTGGCTGAGCCATGATTCTCAGTGGTTATGTTGTAATGATGTAATCTGACAGTTATTTAATGATGTAGTCATGAGCTTTTGTGATCTGATGGGGTCACTCTTCCTTTTCACATATTGTCAATTTTTTGCATAACAACCAGGTCTTTGGAATCTAACCATGTCAGTAAGTGAGGAGTGGCTGCACTTACTGACAGAACATACCACTTATGAACCACGTATCATAATGCTTCTACGTACTAACTTAAAACTCTTACCAGTCTTTTCTCTTGTTTGCCTTGGATCTTTCATTTACTTCCAACTTCTCTAACTCTTCCCGATAAACCTGTCTGTCCCTTTCACTTTCCTCCTCCTCCTCCTTCCCTGTTGGTTGTTTTTGTGGCTCTTCATTGGTGTTATCTGCATCCCAAGCAAGACGTCTTCGAACAGGCATAGTGGCAGTGCCTGACATGCCCAGTTTCTCAGTGGCGTATTTGGAGGGCTGTTCGTCCAAGGTAGGTCTTGTTTCATCTAGTTTAGTAGAATGACATTTCTTCAAAGTCTGATGGCTTGTAGGATCTCTGCAAAATAAAACAAGTCCTATTCTAAACTTGAATAGTTTTAAGTTTTCTGTTATTCTAATTTTTACTAAGTCTGATTCCCTCTAATGGCCCACAAATTGATTACCCCAAATGTTACCTTCCCTCATATAGTGGTGAAAGAAATCTAATTATGAGTTCATTTTACAGCATAAAAACTAAAAGACATACTCTACAGTTTCTATTAAAATATTCATAAGTAAAACATATTTATCTCCTCTTCTACCTTCACACATGATAGTTGCTTGCATCTATGCTGACAAAACTCATATATGTTCCCTAAACTGGCAGTTACACGCATAAACTAGGACTCCACTTGGCTTAACTAGTCACTCAGTTAGAATTTGGTGCACAAACTCAAGCATACCTGCATGTCAAATAAGCAGATTTAAATTTTATACTTTAGATTTTTTGTTTTTTTAAGATATAATTAAATAATAGATCTGGTGATAACCTTTCAAAATCACATGTCACAAAATTATAAACGATGAATTAATTTGGTACACATGACTATATTAACATCATGGGACAACTAAAAACTACTCTATTTGCTATAAATCAACGTGTTCCTTTTCTCAAATGTGGCAACAATTAATGAGGCTAGTGCAGGACCGGTTAGTGTTTTGTTCCATTGTACATAAAGTTGCTATGACTTGGAACCAACTCAACGGCACCTAACAACACAAAAAAATCATGTTCATGTTAAAACCCTACTATCAGAAAATTCTTTCATAAGATCATAGCCCAAATTCCATAATAGCCACAAAACCCATTAATGATAAAGAATCAAATGGGTCAATAGATTACAATCTAAAGGTTTTTTTATACTATTGTTGCATCTTCCTTTCTCTCCCCTTTTTCTTTCCTTTTTTAGCCATGTTTATTTCTAATGTGTGCTTGTGTTGTTAAGTTCCATCAAGTCAGTTCTTACTGATAGCAACCCTGCATAGGGTTTCCAAGGTGAGATTGGTGGGTTTGAACTGCCAACCTTGTGGTTAACAGTCCAGTGCTTAACCTACAGTGCCACATCAGACCTTTTCTGTTCTTAATTAGTAATAAGGAATATTTCAAACCATAACCTTTAAGATTTCTATTCAGCATTATGTATGTACTCGTGCACAAATTTAGCTTTATTTCTCACGGAGAATGAACTGTTGTGGTTAGTAGCCAAACAGTTGATTCCAAATCATGGCAATGCCATGTGTTTCTGAAGTTTTCATGATTGTGGCACTGTAGGACACGCACTGAACTACTAACTGCAAGGTCAGTGATTCAAACCGCCAGTCACTCCTCAGAAACCCTACACAGGGTCGTGGTGAGTCAGAACCAACTCGACGGCACTTAACAACAACAACAATCTTAACAGAAACAGATTGCCAGCCCTTTTCTTCCACAGTATTTTAGTGTAGCGGTGATTGCAAACTGTACCAGATGGAGACTTAGAAAATCAACGAAAAATCTCTGAATACGACTAAGATAGAACTAGCAGAAAAAAGGAGAAAAAAAATCTGAAGACGGTCTTAGTCCCTCTCTTTCCATGAGTCTAGAGTCCTTAGCTGCTCCCTCTCTCCATGTTCCCATCTCTGGTGTTGCTGCTTCTCTGAGAAGTCCAGAGATGGAGGCAGAGATGAGGACTCTAGATTCATGGGAAGAGAGGGACTAAAATCTGGCAGCCAGGAGGCAGACTTGCAGAATGTGCCCTTTGGTGGTGTAAATTATTATATACGCCTGAATGTTTAAAAAAATAAAGGAGGAGGAGCCTAAAGTAAACAGAGAGAAACACTGTTTAACTGATGGTTCAGGGAGGGGATTATAATCATTGTAATGAAACAAGGTGTATGGTTTGTTGAATGTAAAACTGATGATCTGCCCTGTAAACGTTTAAACTCAATCCACAATAAAAACCTTAAATAAATAAAAAAGGGGGGGAGGGGGAACTGAAGCTTTTTATCAAGTCTGAAATTGACCAAACATGCAATCAACATGCACTGATAATTACTGGTGACTGCAATGAGAAAGTTAGAAACAGAGAAGGAGCAGTAGTTTAAACAAATAGTAATAATGCCAGAGACCATGATAGAATTTTCCAAGACTAGCGATCTATTTGGAGTCTTGGTATGGGGCTTGTGGGTTAATGCGCTGGACTGCAAAGTCAGTTTGAACCACAAGGTTGGCGGTTGAAGCTCACCAGCTGCTCCCTGGAAACCCTCTACTGGGTCGCTATGGGTCAAAACCTACTTGACGGCACTTAACAACAACAATAACCTATTCATAGGAAATAACGTTTCAACAACATAAATGACAACTCTATACATGGTCCTCATCAGAGGACATACAGAAGAATCAAATCAACTACATTTGAAGAGACATAATGGAGAAGCTTGAGATCATCAGTCAGAACAAGGATGAGAAGCTGTGGAACACATCATTAATTGTTCACATGCAAGTTCGAGGTGAAGCTGAAGAAAATTAAAACAAGGTCATGAGAACCAAAGTACAATCCTGAGTAAAGCTGACCCTTGAATCATATGGAGGTTAGGAGTACTGATCTCGTTACATCAAAAAGCCAAGTATAATTTCTAATTATTGGATTATGAATTTATAATTCCTTGAATAAAGTGGGTTTGAAGTGTACAGGCCCATTTATCTATAGATTGATGGCACTATAAGTGGCTGCTCACAACCCTTGAGCGCACTGAAAAAGCAACAGGAAAACACCTCCATCTAAGTGGGACCACACAATTCCAAGTCACGTTGTTCAAGAGTTAACTGTATATCCCACCTGAATTTAGAAAACATCTCAAGAAAAGATTAGACATAAGGAATACTTCTGACCAAAGACCAGACAAGTTGTGAAATGCTATCAAGGACATCATACATGAAGAAAACAAAGGTCAGTAAAAGACAAGCAAGAAAAGACCAAATTGGATGTCAGAAGACATTCAAGGAGACACCCATTGTCGTCGCTTTGCTAAACAATGAGCTTTTCATGCTCAGGGTCTCTTGCTGTTCCGTTCCTTGATGGCATGGCTTCCACCATGTTCCAGAACGCAGCGTAACTAAAGTGGATGAAAGAAATAATGAAATGAAAGAACTATACAGAAGATTTCAAAGGGCAGCTCAAGAAGACACATTATTACAATGAAATGTACAAAGACCTGAAGTTAGATAACCTAAAGGAAAGAACAAGCTCAGTATTTCTCAGGCTGAAAGAACTGAAGAAAGAATTTAAACCTCAAGTTGTAATACTAAAGGAAGTCTATGGGCAAAATACTGAATGCAGCAGAAAGCATCAAAAAAAGATGGAAAAGAGTGCACAGAGTCGCTATTCCAAAACGAAACTGTTGATATTCATCACATGATCCAGAACCAATGGTACTGGCAGAAGAAATCCAAGCTACACTGAAGACATTGGTGAAAACAAGGCTCCAGGTATTGACAGTCTACCAGTTGGCAGATGCAATGCTGAAGTGTTCACTAGTCTATGCCAAGGAATTTGGAAGGCAGATACCTGCTCAGTTGATTCAAAGAGATACACATTTATGCCCATTCCAAAATAAAATGATCCAACAGAAGGCAGAAACCATAGAACAATTTTAAAATGACTGCAGCAGTGCATCAACAAGGAACTGTCACAAATTCAACCTTGATTCAGAAGGGTATGAGGAATGAAAGAGATCATTGCCGATGTCAGGTGGACCTTGGTATAAAAGGAGAATACCAGAAATATGTCTACCTGTGTTATTGACTAAGCAAAGGCAGTACACTGTGTGGACGAAAACAAGTTATAGATAACACTGAAAAGACTGGGAATTCTAGAATACTTAATTGTGCACATGTACACAGACCAAGAAGTAGTTATCCCAACAGCACTAGTGGATACTGCATGGCTCAAAATCAGCAAAGGTGTGCATTAGGGCCGTATCCTTTCACCATACTTATTCAATCTGTGTGCTGAGCAAATAAACCATGAATCTGAAGCATAAGAAAAATGCAGCATCAGGATTAGAGGAAAACTCACCAGCAAACTGTAACATGCATATGAGATAACCTTGCTTGCTAAAAATGAAAAGGACTTGAAGCACTTACTGATGAAGATCAGACCTTTAGTGTGGATTATACCTCAATATCAAGAGCACAATAATCCTCAAAACTGAGCCAATAAGCAACATCATGATAAATGGAGAAAAGATTGAAGTTGTCAAGAATTCACTTGGATCCATAATCAGTGTCCATGGAAACACCATTTGCATTGGGCAAATCTGTTGCAAAAGATCTTTTTAAAGTGCTAAAAAAGCAACAATGTCACTTTGAGGACTAAGATGCACCTGACCCAAGACAGGTATTTTCAATCGCCTCATACGCATGGAAAGCTCGGCATTGAATAAGAAAAACTGAATGGCTGATGCCTTCAAATTATGGTTTTGGTGAAAAATATTAAATATACCATGGACTGTCAGAAGAATAAATCTGTCTTGAAAGAAGTACAGACAGAACGCTCCTTAGAAACAAGGGTAGAGAGACTTCATCTCACAAACCTTGAACACAGTTTCAGGGGGGACCAGTACTTGCAGAAGGACATCATGCTTGGTAAAATACAGGGTCAGTGAAAAAAAGGAGAACCCTTAACAAGATAGACTGATACAGCGGCTGCAACAAAGGGCTGAAAAACGGCAGCGATTCTGAGGATGGCACAGAGCCAGTGTTTCACTGTGTTGTATACTGACTGGGACCCTGTGAATTAGAATCAACTTGATGGCACTAACAACAGTACAAGCAGCACCATACTTTTCACCATCCACAAAGAACATCTCACCCAGCAAGATCTAGAGCTCTGATGTTGCTACTATGGGTTCCTTCGGAGCTCGCTGAGGAGACATCCCAACAGCAATTGTTATCAGACAGAAGCTGATTCAGATGGTCCCGAGAAAAATGTGTTCCCAGGACTCGTTTCCTGTAAAACTCAGCCTTCTCTCGGAGTTCTTTAACCTATGCAGGGACGTTGAGACAGCAAATATTATTAAAAATGCTTCATAGCAATGATCACCAAGTAGCATAGTCTACATATTGCACAAATACAGTTGGGAAAAAAAGGAAAAACAAAAACAAAACACAGCCACACACATTCATCTGACTATGTGCATTTTTAAGCATAAATTAAAATAGTCAAGCATGATGCAGTTATTTTATTTTAGGCCAGCAGGCAGTGAGAGATTTGTAGCAGCTAAGAAAAATACTGACACCTACTTCTTACTCCAATTGTCATTTACACACGTACTCTATATATTATCATAATTTTGAAAAACTCAAAAGCAACCAACCTCTGCATACCACATGGCATTCAGAGAACCCTAGGGGAAGGAATACAGAAACAAACTTAATGACAGGTTAATGCCATAACTCAGTATTAATGGGAATCAATAAAATAGCTTATTATTCTTTCCTATAAAGTCCATCAATATTTATTTGTATTTTTAGTACTTTTTAATTCAATAACAAAGCTATCTTAATATTACCTTGAAAACCAGCCACTCCCTTGCATGTTGGGACGCTGTCAATGACAAGTAATCATTATTCCAACTTCCGCACCTCTGGAAGAGTACCGACATGCCAGAAACCCTTTGTTGTTGTTGTGTGTGTGTTGATTTCAACTTATAGCAACTCTACAAAACAGAGTAGAACTGCCCCCAAAGGGTTTTCTAGACTGTCAGTTCAATGGGAAAAGACTGCCAGGTATTTTTCTCCTATGGAGAAGTTGGTAGATTTGAACCATTCACCTTTCGGTTAACTTAAGCATTGTGCCACTAGGGATCCTTGGAAACCCCTTGCCAGCTTAATTGCCTGGCCTCATGGACATCTGCTACTACTACAGAGGCGTTCTGGTGTGGCGCTTTGGAAATACACTGGACCACAAGGTCGATTTGAACTGCAAGGTCGGAGGCTCAAATCCACCAGCTGCTCTTCAGAAACCCTATACAGGGTTGCTATGAGTTGGAATTCACTCGACGGCACTTCACAACAACAACCAACAACAACTATCGAACCCTCCATTGAGAGGGTCAGGAGGCTTCGCTCCTCAAATTTCTCAACACTTTTTTGGAATCAACAAAAATTCAACTTTGTAAAAACAGAATATTTAATGATAAATATCCCATAAAAAATTTTTGCAATATGTTCAACCAAGTGATAGAATGTTTTTGAAAACTGATCTGATGAATTTCAGGTGATTTGAATCCCCTAATATGCAAATGTTGTTGTTGTTGTTGTCAGGTGCCATCGAGTGCAAATAGTTTCATACAAAAAGGAGACTGCACTCATTTATACACCATACTGCCACCTGCTGGCTTCACTAAATACAACTTTACAATTAAAAAAATGTAAACTTCATCCTCAAAATTGTGTTTAAGAGCACCTTTATAGTTAGAAAGTGCTGTAATAGTATTTAAAGATGAAACAGAATTTCTCTAAAGGGTTTCTGGATACTCTGTTAGAACTTTTTTTTTTTTTCACTTAAAGGCAAAAACGCAGGTAGTGAAGTCTGACTCTAAATGTCCTCAGCACTACAGCAAGGCACTAGTGAATGGGAAAGGCTGAGAGTATTCATCCAGGGAATCAGCCAGGAGTCTTGGTATGGCCTGTAGGATGTGCATTGGATTGCTAACTGCAAGGTTGGCGGTTCAAACCCACTAGCTGCTCCTTGGAAACCCTATATGGGCCGCTGAGTCAGAATTAACTTGACAGCACTTAACAACAACAAAGCAAAGATTAGTACCTGCCATGGCATAAGAAAGCACATATGCCCAGCAGAATCCCATTGCTTCAATGAACCACACTTGCAAACCTTCCTAAAGGATAATTCAATATTATTTTCTCACTGCCAAAAGTTTAACTGTTTCTGGTCAACTCTTACACTTAAAATTACTAGTAATAGTGTTACATTTAACAAAGCAAAGACACTCTGATGTCGTCAAACTACTAGTCAGGGTAGTCTGGATGCACAGAAACTTGTTATGAAGAGCCTTCATTTATTCCAGAGTTTACTTCTAAAAAGCATCCCCATGTTTCAATGTGCAATCGTTAATGTTGCTGAGTTGTCAAAGTCTATCCCATAGCCTCAGGAGTGTCATTTCACTCTTGCCCCAGTAATTGAAGAAACCATAGCAGTGAAGCAGAGTGTAGCAGTTAAGTACTGATTCCAAGACCTGTCCTGAGAGTGGACTAGGCTCTGGGCCTCTGCCAGACCAAAGAAGAGCCAGAAAATCCCTGCACTTAAGGCACTCAGTCAAGCAGAGACAGCCCTGCCCATAAATGATCACAGTACTGGTATAGTCTATGCCATAGTAAACAATACGAAGGAAACTCAAGAAGTGGCTCAACTAGGTTTATAAATACTCACCTGATTTGGCATATTTTCTTTTATATGAGTCCAAGCTCCAGCTTTATATAAATACTGAGCTGGGCTCAGAAACTTCGCTCTGTATTCAGAATTCACCTTCCTAATAGAAACGAAATGAGAGTAAATATTTGGCAATGTTGATCATCTAATACCATGATATATTTCTTATAAAATACATACCCAAGCCTTTGATGTCTCCAAGGAGTAAGCATTTTTTCAGGTTGGACTGAGTCTTTTGATTCCATCACTGCTTCTGACTTTAAAGGATCGTCTTTTTTATTACACTGAAATGGAAATAATTTAAACTTAAATGACACTCAAACTATATGAAGCCTAAAATAAACTATTGTTGTTGTTAAGTGCCGCCGAGTTGGTTCTGACCCATAGTGACCCTCTATAGGGTTTCCAAGGAGCAGCTGGTGAGCTTGAACCACCGACCTTATGGATTAAACTGATTTTGCAGTCCAGCAGCACATTAACCCACAACACCACATCAGGACTCCTAAAATAAATTAATTACACTTAAATTATGATTAAACCATAAACTGAAGAATGGATAAACAAACTGTGATACATACACACAATGAAATATAATGCTACTTTGAAGAACAAGGAAGCTGTAAACATAACATGGATGAAACTTGAGGACATTATGTTGAGTGAAATCAGTCAGTCACAAAAGGAGAAATACTGCATAGGACCACCACAACCTTGTGCTTAGCAAGCAGTTCACTGTTTATCCACAGTGCCACCCCAGCACTTGCTGAAAACACATTATACATCAAAGTGAAAACATACATATTGTAAAGTTAGACATGGATACTACATTACACTTCTATTTTTAGGAGTAAGCTGTAAGTACAAAAGATAAAACTTGTATCAACAAGCAAGGATTGCAACCAGTATATCTGATTAGCTGTTTTGAAGTGTAGCAGAACACTGGTTCCTTTTTCCAAAACAAAAGATTCTAGGTAAGGAAAAAAATCAGCAAATAAATATATAAACAAAAAAACTTAGGTGCTATTACCTATCTTTAGTATTTTAATGTTACATTTAATTGTATTACAGAACTTAAATGTGAAGTCCCAATACGTAAATTACCACAGTGCTTTACTAAAGAAGCTAGCAACTCTTATATTCTCCTTGTTGTTGATGTTGTTAAGTACTGTGGAGTTGCTTCTGACTCATAGTGACCCTGTACAGGGTTTTCAAAGCTGTAAATCTTTACAGGAACAGAAAGCCTCATCTTTCTCCCGTGGAATGGTTGGTAGTTTCAAACTTGAGGTTAGCAGCCTGATTCATAACTACTACGCTACCAGAGCACGCTCATGCTTGCGCTCTCTCCCCTCTC